AATAATTTACGCGGGTGGAGGTTGTGTTGCTGGCTGTGTTCCATGGGACCTGCCGAGATGACAGCGAATGTCGCCCTACCCTACCCTGCTCCTGTTACAGCAGGTGTACCTTGGCCGCAGCAAACAGACGCTAGAGTCAAAGCGGACAAGCGCCATTCAAGCTCTCCTTTCCCAGAGGCGCCCACGTTTGGTTTGGTCGGGTTGGCACAGGAGAGCCGAACAGTGACGGACTGAGGTTGCAAAGCACCTCCTCTAGTCTCCAGTGCTCTAGAGTCTGAGCGGACCTCTTCAACCTCACAATTCCACTTCCCTTCACTTCCCTTCTCTCTTCCACCCTGCCAGGCGCCTCAGCGGTTCCACGATCCGTTGATGTGGCCCGCCCGCGTGCGCGTTCCCTTCTCCCTCACGCCCTTTGATTCTCTGTTCATAGTAACTGTTTCCCATCATTTCATAAGTAATCTACCGGCCACGCCCGTCCTAGAGCCCTCGTCTCGCGCCTCCGTCGCCTGTCCTGCAGCGCCGCATTTGTTTGTGCGCCCACCGACCCGTTGCGACTATTACACCCGGCATCCTGCATAAGTACGACTTCTTCCCTGCGAAGTAGGAGAGTACCTGCACGACGGTCAAGACCAGATTCGTGGCCGGCCAATTCTTCCTGAGCGCTCTGGCGTTGACTTCGCCTTCTTCGCCTCCTTCGCCCTTCGCCTTCTCCAGATGCACACCCTCTTTCGTTATCAGGATACCCAACGGCACACGCATCACTCGCACACCTCTAATGCCCATTACCACAGCCGCTAGTTACCTCGTCAACCAATAATCACGCCTCACGCTCGCTTTTCTTTTTCAAGGTTATTTACAAAAAGGATTTATAGTGGTTACGGCGCCGAAATAGTCCAGCCACTTCGCCAGAGTCCAGACGGTTTCAGTAGTTACCGCTCTTTCCGATTGCCTCTCACCTGAAACCATATCAGATCAAACTTAGACAGACACAGCAGCAACTGTGAAAAGGAAGCCAATCCTCCGAAAGGCTCTTGTCGAATGGTGGGAAGTACTGGTCCGAATATGATGCTTATATGAATACAATCTTTGTTTTCCTCAACACCACGGACCACGCAACCGCGATCAATCGCAGTCGTCGTTTGTTACGAGACAACTTGACGATGGCTGCGAAGCGCCCCACCGAGATACGTATCCCGCGAGGCCACTCACCGTGGCACACCAGCGGATTAGTTGTGTCAATAATCGCTTCTATACCTTTAGCCATGGCGCAACAAGACCAGCCCTCCTGCATACAGTTGACCAACTCGACTACTTGTCCAGCGTTTGAATCTGCATTTGTGTCAACCAACAAAGCTGTGACCGACTTATTGTAAGAGCATTCAGCCCACGAGTGATTTATTGTCAAGAGACGACTGCTAATATGCGATACGTAGCCCCTTTCTCACAGTCGTCAACGATGTCCGCACTTTTGATTCACAGTTGAGCCAGTATATCACAGGAGAATGGCGGCAGCGGCAGTACCAAACGCTACTCGGATGTGGGGCGATTGACTTGTCAAATGACGACCTATATGCACGCTTTACCACATCTGTTCTCTGCAATGGGATTGTCCAGAACTCAATATCATACTGCGAGATGTCAGATAGTGCCAAGCGGCCCCTGTGTGCCCCCGACTGTGCTCAATATGCGCAGAGTGAGGAGTACGTGGTGGCTAACAGCAACCTGTGTCCCACCCCGGGGAGCAATGCTGAAGCTCAGATCCGATCAGATTTCGAGATTTGTGCTCAGCCCGCGGACGCCTTGTCGCCTACCAACTGTGTACAAGCCACTAATAACGAGCCGGACAATTGCGGTTACGGAGATAGTACATTTGGGTTGTGCTCGTATTGCGCCTCTGGGGGCATCAACTCAACAGATACCTGCTGTTACAATTCGAAGGCAGAGGATAAATGCGCAGGTGTTGTTTTGCCCACCATAATACCGCAAAACTTTACCTCTGCAAGCCCGACCGCCACTAGTAGTGCGACAAGCACGCCTGTGCCCGGCGGGGAGCATGGACTATCTGGAGGTGCGATTGCTGGCATTGCCATAGGGTCTGTGGTTGGAGCTCTCTTGATAGCACTCTTGTTGTTCTTTTGCTTGCGACGGTTGCGACGAAGGCGGGAAAATGAGAAGCAGAATATTTTCAATCAACCGTCACCCTCCAGGAAAGGACCACCGGTGAGCCAGAGCGCAACGACCACTCCGCCTCAAGGATACGAGGTGCTTCCGGGTGGCAGAATTGCACGCATGTCTGCCTTGGAGGGACACACGGGTGGCTCGCCACCACGAATAGTTGGTTCGCGCCATGGTAGCTCTTCAGGCGTCGCTACTACAGCGGCTGCCATAGGAGCTGGTGCTGGCTCTATGGTCGGGAGGAGAAGGGCTGATAATCAGTCATCGTCTGATTCGTTTGGAGAAAGTCCTGGATCTGACACTCGCATTGGTGTACTGCGGCCGCCGCCTACAAACATCCGCAGACACGGCTCACTATCTAGCAATTCTGTACTGGCCGGGGAGGATCCTCACTCTCCAACTAGTGCCGGAGGGATGTCTTCGCCGCCAGGTGTTAACAGCCAACAATCAGAGCAGCTTCCATTTTTCAAGGACTACTACTCACGGGACGACATCCACCCGGGTGAGCGTGTAGCTGTCCTTTGGGCGTACCAACCTCGTGCAGCCGACGAGTTTTCACTCGAGCGAGGTGATATGTTAAAGGTGGTCGGGATCTGGGACGATGGCTGGGCTACCGGCACATTGTTGAATGAACGAGCCGATGAATGGGAGGCACGACGGCAGGCGCAGAGGGACAGCGGTGTCTCCAATACCTCAGAACATGAGCGTGACACGTCACCAACCTCTGGTACTGGTGAGATCAAAGCATTCCCTTTGGTTTGTGTATGCCTCCCAGATCATTGGCGGAAAACCATCGACGGAGACGGGTCCACGGAGACGGCTTCAAGCGCACACGTAGGAAGCCATCACACATGATAAGAAAATTTCCACTTGTACTTCCATTTCTGCCCATTGCAGAACAGATGGAGTCACTCCAGGTTGCATTTCCTCGGCGTTATGGGCTTCCTACGACATGCCGGCTTTAATTAGGCCCCGGTGATAAGATACCAACTGCTCTTTTCTCTTACTCGCCTTTCGGAATAGACACGCATTCACTTGCTGGTGTCCACCAGCAATTTGATCCGCGTCGCCGTCACAGCTTCAGCTATATGGGAGCGGGATCTCGTACTTTTGCGATAGACAGACTTATTGCATTCGGTTAACGCAAGAAGTATAGTTTGATAAACGGCCAACCCCGGCAATACCGTGGCTTTTGTTGCCGCAGTCGGCGTCGGCGTGCGGCCCTCTTTAATTCGGATAAGACGCCACGGTCTTTGGAGCACCAATAATAATGGTTTGCGACACCTTTTTCTCTTCGTTGTTAGATCTATATACCCTGTTTGATTTTGAGAAGGTGTCCAGGGGCCCATATGGTTAGGGAGGAGCCGTGGATGTATAACCTCTTCTATTACCCCTTGGACGAACTGAGTTACCTCAGGCCGTAGGGTGTGGTATAAAATTAAGGCATAGTACCTCGATGCCTACGAAAGAGTCGTGGAAGGCAAAGAAATTCACCGAACCCAAGCACTTGCTTACGGGGCAGGTGAAGAGAGGGAGGACCTGTGCTATACACATTTATAGATGCATGCCTGTGTCAGGCCGCTTTGGAAGCATCTCTTACTCCAGCTGATCGAGCCCCTCATGTCTATTACTTAATGATTCACGACTGACTCATCACAAATTAAGCCCGCTTTGTGCAGATGTCTCATAAAGTAAAAAGATTACACGATCTAGATAATGTGCTGTCGTTCCGAATATTGATATGATAATTGTGGCTCAGCCCGAATTACCTATCTAATGCAGGTTGGTTTAGGTACCTAAGTTAGGTTCTAGGTTTTACCAAATGCCAAGTATGCAACGAACTAGGTTTAGCGCATTTGCCGCTTTATCTCAGGCTGGGCTCAGCCAGCTATCAGTCAGGTGACTGTGAAACGGCCATTGTGCATTTATGCATTGCTTTATGTAGAGGGCGATAACCTTGAAACCTCCAGGCTTGAAACGGTCCCAGCTCTGAGAACGGTTCCAGCCCTCAAAACCGTCACAGCCTGTCTTAACAGTCAACTAAGGCAAGCGATTAGGGCGGCCTACAGGCGCGGCTTACTCCGTATAGATTGATCGATTGATCTATCGTTAAGCACAATCCAACGTCTGACCAACTAATGCTAACAACCCGTCCATTTACATCCTGCCCTATCGTTAACCGTCACCAGCACGCGTTCTAGGCCATAGCGGCCTTACCCGACAGATTCGGCGCCGAGAGTTAGCAGTATATAAAGATAGTCAAGATCGAGCTCACTAACCCGGCAGGAAACGTGTAGGGGGGTCCTAAGTAGGTAGCCTTGGCGTAGGGGATGAACGGATTCAATTGTCCTCTGGGTGTATGATATAGGTAGTATTCTATTGTTACATTAACTCCCTTAACTCCCTCCTTGGTACCTATCAACTGGTCGCTAGAGCGATTAGGGTGGCGTATGTCACAACAGCTGCTCAAGGCGGAGTCGTCTGCGATTACTGGAATCACTCTTTAATTATATGGCACCGAAGTAATCTCTTACTTCGGAAGCCTATGGGAATGTCTACCTATCTATATAGCTAGGTGGGTGGCCAGAAGTGTAGCCAAAGGGGTGGCTAGAAGGGTCCCTCAACCCTTCTTACCTCTCTATGACTAATCACCACCATGGCCATGGCCATAGGCTACAGAGAAGGCTATGAGCCGTCACTGCGTAGGCGTTGCAACTGTTAACTAGCGGGTGGATTAAGGCCGAAAAAGCCATTAGGGTGTCGCTATCCGCTGCCTAGCTTATACTCTATAAACTTGTCTAACTAGACAGCTTGTAACAGAAAAACCTAGAGTGGTGTAATGGCAACATCCTTAGTTGACACACGGCCATAGGCCGTGCCCTTCGGGGGCCGGGGGACCTGGGTTCGATTCCCAGCTCTGGGGAATTTCTTTTTTTCGAGTTTTATCTAATTGCGTCTCGTTCTATCTATCTCTTTCTCTATCTCGTTACAGCAGCCAGCAGTCAGTTAGTATTTATTTACTCGCTTAAAAAAAGCCCGTATATTTTATTTTTTGGCATAGTAGCTACTTACTCACCTCCACACAGGCCGAAAGCATCCCATTCCATCATCAATCGCCCAACTCATCGCTCAAGCCGTAACACGGCGGCGCTCTTCCTCACCATCCTCCGCAAGCCCAAAACCAACCCGCAGCGGCGTAGCCCCCGCCGACCTCCTCGGCCGTCCCGCCGCGCCCGCCACGCGCGCCGCCATTGCCCGCGTCAGCCGCATCCACGACCGCTACCGGCCGCAAGGCACCATGTCCAACAAAGACCTGCTGTACGCGCTCAGTCTGTTCGCGGTTGAGCCGACGCGCTGGGTCGAGCGCTTCGAGTGGCGCGCGATGGATGCGCGGGAACGGGGCGCGCTTGCGGTGCTTTGGAGGTGGGTTGGTAGGGAGTTGGGGATCACTGTTGAGAATGTCTAATGCTTGAAGCCGCGCGGCTAGGCGATGAAGAGCGTTTAGCCCCCGCATACAGGTAATGGGCCTGAGCGCCCGCGCACCTATATTTGTATGTAGCCTGGCTGCGAGCCATTCTTCTCTTTCCTTCCTGGATCATCGCAGTACATCATAGTATAGACACGAACGCTTCTATACTCCTGTGATCCCTAGAGACTATCGTGAAGCTGTATTTGACATGGTAGCTAGCGCTTGGGTGGTGACGCAGTGGAGAAATGTGGGACGAGTCGCTTAGTCCATTTCACAACTAGGTAGATTTTACTACAGTTGCACAAAAGCAAATACCGCTTATTATAAAACGGATCTTCGTATATATTACAAGATGGTCCGTTTAAGTGACTTCCTAGGAAGTCGCTCGAACACACCTGTGGGTTATGCCCAGGCCAGGCTCAGGTTAAAAGCAGCAGATTTGGGATGGTAAAACCTATCTTGGAGGTACCTTGGAGATAGATACGCTGACAAGATTACCTAATAGCCCGGCAAGGGTGCCTAAGGTAGGTACCCATGGTTGTCCCACCAGTGCTATGTCATACGCCCACCTACAATACATAGTACATGTAGAGGTTCAAGAGGTTCAACCGCACCACATGCCTTGATCACGCGGCTTCGCGAGGCCCAATTCAATCCTACGATAAGGGCCAGCACAAGCATAGCCTTGGCCGTCTCCCTCCTCCTCCACTACCGTCCTTGCCTTACCGTCTTCAATCAGCGGCCACGTCAAGCAGGCAGCAAGCAAGCAGTGTCAGCCTGCGCAGACCTCCAACAATGACCGAATCGTCTCCTGCATCACCGCCGAGGTAGCTTCATGGCATGCTTGCACAATGGGGAATAGCTACTCTCTCTCCACACCATACGCCGGCTCTGCCGGCATCGACGTCCCGGAGCTGTCCGATCTGGCGCACGAGAGGTCCATAGGTAATGCTCGGTTTATGAAGAGCATTCGCGCCCGTCATCGGGATGGCGTTGCTCTCGCAAAGGTAACGGTCAAGCCGTACAGCGGCTGCTCCTTGAAGGAATACGGCGACAAGATACTCGGTGAGATGCCCGTGCCCTTGCCAATCACGGCGCCTTTGTGCCGCCACTGACAACCTGAGAAAGAGGAACGCGAAAAGCTACGCCATGTCCCTAATGCCTTAGGCTTCGAGCGCGCATTCGAAACGCAGACGCATGCTTATCTGGTCCGACAATACATCTACAGCTCTCTTTACGACCGAATATCCACGAGACCCTTTCTTGAAGACATAGAGAAGAAGTGGCTGGCCTTCCAGCTCCTTTGCGCCTTGCGTGACTGTCACGCCCGGGATATTTACCATGGCGATATCAAGACCGAAAACGTCATGGTAACCTCATGGAACTGGCTGTACCTTACAGACTTCACCGGCTCTTTCAAGCCGACAAAATTGCCCGACAACAACCCCGCGACATATTCTTATTTCTTTGATCTGTCTGGCAGGAGAACGTGCTATATTGCGCCCGAACGATTTGTCGAACAGATACAGAACCCCCAGGAGCTGGAAGGACACGATCTGACGTGGTCAATGGACGTATTCAGTGCTGGATGTGTTATCGCCGAGGTCTTTCTGGAAACGCCTATCTTCAGTCTAAGCCAGATGTTCAAATACCGCCGTGGAGAATATGATCCTGTCATCTCGCATCTGAGCAGAATCCCCGACCAGGGCCTACGAGAGATGCTGTCTAGCATGGTACAACTGGACCCCGAGAAACGCTACTCCGCTGAGCAGTATCTGCATTTCTACAAAAGCAAAATATTCCCCGAATACTTCTACAGCTTCCTTCACCAGTACATGGAACTGATCACTGATCCCACCTCCGGGAGGGCACCTGTAACTGGAACTTATAAAAACCTCGGTGAAGCAGATGACCGGATAGACCGTGTATTTTATGACTTCGATAAGATCTCATATTTTCTGGGGTATCAAGAACAAAAGAATCTCCCCCAGGCGCCTCGTTTCACGCCTAGACTCGGTCTCGGCTTGTTTCCTGTAAGACTGAGCATACCGAATAATGAGCATTTCTCGTCTATTGGGGCGCAACCCCTGACTGATGATGGAACTCTCATATTCCTGACATTAATAGCCGGGTCTTTGAGAAATACCGCCCGAACCGCTTCCAAGATAAGGGCGTGCGACTTGTTACTGGCCTTTTCAGAAAAGCTGACTGATGAAGCGAAACTCGATCGCGTACTACCTTATCTGATGACATTATTGAACGACGAAGTCGATCTAGTTGCTATTGCCGGATTGAGATCAATCACCCAACTTTTGGCTCTAGTCACAGTTGTTACTCCTGTTAATGCACATGTATTCCCTGAGTACATTATGCCTCGAATGCAAGTATTTCTTTCAGGCGCATCTCGACAACTGATAATGGGCAAGGAACGCAGAGAACCCAACCCGTTGGTACGTGCGACTTATGCGTCTTGCTTGGGTAGTCTCGCCACGACTGCGTCGAAGTTCCTAGAGCTTACGGCCGTGCTAAGAGCTGAGGGCTCTATTAGCACAGCGGACCCGGAAGTCGAAGCTGGGAGCGATCCGGATGCTGCTTTCGATGGGCTATTTGATAATACTCAAGCAGAACTCGTGGAGCTATTTGAAACCCATGCAAAGGCTCTGGTTGAAGATACCGATGCTTCTGTCCGTCGCGCGTTCCTAACTTCGGTACCGGAATTATGCCTGTTCTTCGGTAGTGCCGAGTCCAACGATATATTACTAACCCACTTGAATACGTATCTGAACGACCGAGATTGGATGCTTAAATGCGCATTCTTCGACACCATTGTTGGTATTGCTGCCTTTTTAGGCAGCACCGGCCTAGAAGAGTTCAGTCTTCCACTGATGGTGCAAGCCGTTACTGATCCGGAAGAGCATGTCGTACAAGCTGCTCTTCACTCTTTAGCTGAGCTAGCGAAGCTCGGTCTCCTATCTAAGCCGAAGACATGGGAACTGATTGACGTTGTGGCCCGATTCACGATGCACCCGAATATCTGGATCCGAGAATCTGCAGCAGAGTATATCTCGAGTGCCTCGAAATTACTCTCTCCCGCAGATATCAGATGTATAGTACTCCCTTTAGTCAAACCTTTCCTAAAATCATCTATCATTCCAGAATTTTCAGAACTGGGTCTGCTTGACGCTCTGAGGAAGCCTATATCAAGGACAGTATTCGATCTGGCGTTATCATGGGCACAGAAGACCGACAAAGGTTTATTTTGGAAGGCAATCAGGCAGCAAAAGCAGTCGGCATTTACAGTTGCCTCAACAGCGCTATCAATCCGATTATCCCGGGAATTGCAACCCCAATCACTCAGTAAAGTGCCGCGAAATGAAGAGGATGAGCACTGGCTGACCCGGTTGCGGAATATGGGCATGACCCAAGAAGATGAGTTCAAGTTACTTGTTCTCAGGGAATTTATCTGGCGCTTAAGTCAAATGAAAAACCGCGACTTTATTACGCAGGACAATATCGCAAGGGACTTGAATAACATACTCAATTTAAGGAACCTCAATGTCAAGATGCAAACCATCATGTTTGACGAATCGGCCGGCATAGACGAGCAGATGTGGCAAAGCCAAGAGCAGCGACAACAGCAGGCACCCGAATCGGATAGGGGCCCATACACGATTGCCGACGCCCTTCTGGACGCTTCCATGACCATTGATGAACCTATCGGTCGAAGGCGTCGGGCTGCCGCCAATACCCACCGATCGCGGATGAGCAGTCATGGAGGCGCAGTTTCGCCGATGGGTAGGGGTGACAGGGCCACGTCTCCATCTCTCACTTTAGACTCTTCGCCGATTGATGGGTCGCCGCGAGTTCCCGTGGCTGCAGGACGGCGAATTAATACTGATGACGCATCTGTGTCTGACGCCCCCTATGCATCTAGAAGGGCTATTAGACACCAGTCAAGCGCTCTTGATCTGCTCAATAGAAAGGATAGTGGTAGGTCAATTGCAGAAACTGGGACGACTGAAGCAAATGCTTTTGGGCAAGTAGGGGGCCTATTCACCGAGAGTGTCCCCCCTCGTGTGACAATCTCGGACGCCGGGGGTCGAGAAAACAGCCGGCTAGAAACCAAGCAACGTGCTGCTCATACGTACGAGGGAAATGATCCCAGTATTCTTCGGATGCTCAACAACATGTATGTCGACAATTACCCACATGATATCGTCGAATATGGTCCACTGGTTTCACCAGTTACGAGAAGAAGAGCCACGAAAGCCACCGGTCAACTTAGCGAGGAAGCCTGGAAACCGACTGGTAGATTGGTAGCGACATTCTCGGAGCATCGCGGAGCTATTAATCGCGTAGTGCCCTCGCCCGACCATCAATTCTTTATCACGGGCGGCGATGATGGGTGTGTAAAGGTTTGGGACTCGTCCAGACTGGAACGAAATGTCACACAC